GAGCCAAACTGGCACTGTTCCCCAAATCCTCCTGGGAGCGGGGAAAGGAAATGGTGCGACCATGCATGAGAAGGGACGTTTGCAGTGGCAAAAACATCCCACTGGCTCAGAAAATTGCTGCAGAATCGGGCTTGAAATGAGTTGAAATTGCTGAATCCAAGCGGATCTCATATCCCGGGCAGTTGTAATGCTGGCGTCAGCGCTGCGGCTTCCCTCCCGGGGCACCCAGGCGGGGCTGGCTGTGCTGTGCAGGGGGAGTGGGCTGGTGGGGATGGGGGCTGCCTCGGGGGGGGGCCTCTGGCATGGGGAGGGGCTCCAGCAGAGCTGGGATGGCCACAGTGTGGGGCAGGAGCAGAGCAGGAGGCAGGGTGCGTGGGTGTGCCATTGCCCCAGCTCTACCAGTGTCATACCAGTTTGGCTCCGGCTCCTGTGCCATGTCTCCTGTCCAGGAACATCCCTGTGCTCCAGCTGCCTGCACACATGCAGGAAACAGCATTTCCAGTTTTGGAGGCTGCTTTCCTTTGTGCCACAGCCTTGCTCATGATAATTTGCTCTCTGGGCTTAGGTACCTGGACATGCCCCTCAAGGTTACCCCTGGGCTGGCATCCCCACCAGGTCCAGGTGGGCAGCACTCTGGTGTCCTCCCATTCCTGTCCCCATCCCCATTATGCCCCAATGATGACTGTTCTCAGGGGTGCTTCTACGCTGGGGTGATCGCTCCTGTGTGGTGTGCCCATGCCCAGGGCCTGCCCGTCAGCTGCATGTCCCAGTGGGGATGTGGGAGCAGGGCAGGATGCCCCTGCAGGTATGTGGGAACAGGGCTGGCTGTCCCAGTGGGGATGTGGGAACAGGGCTGGGTGGCCCAGGCACACAGCAGCAGGACCCGCTGGCACCACACATGTTGCAGCTCGTTCCCCTTGCATGAAAACATTTGGCTGGAAGCTTAGTGCGGCCTCTTGTCTCCTCAGAGCAATCAGGATTTGTCACTGCCTGCAATGTTTAACGTCGTCTTCCAGAGGCTAAATACCGTGGGGAGCCGTGTAAGCCATGGAAATACCTGCATGAGCTGGGATCAGCCCGAGGCTGGCACAATGGGCTGGCAGCACTGGGGATGGGGGACTGGGAATGCCTGATGCTGGTCCTCATGCCCCCAGTGCTCACGGGTGGGCTGGCATGAGCCAGGATGAGGATGCTGGCAGTCAGCATCTTGCTCCCAAAAGGCTCCCTGCAGCAGGGGGGCTGGGAGGCAAGTCTTGGGAGCATGGGGGGCACTTGGGGAACCCCAGAACTGTGTGGGTTGGGGAAGAAGATGCTGGGGTCCCCAGCAGTATCTGACTGGGATCTGCCTGCCGAGGCACAGGCAGCTATTTCTGTCAAGGTCAGCGTGTCTCCATGGGAGAGAGAGGAAAATGAGGAATCATGTCAAGAAATTACCTCCCTAATGGGGTCTCCCCTGCATGAGAGCATGGCGTGGGGATACCGGTATGCACTGGCTGTGCAAGGAGACAGGCATGTAACACAGGAATGCTGCATCTCTGGCCCTAAGATCGTAACATGCTTGGGTGCCCAGCAGGCAGAGCCAGGTGCCCAAGGGCCCATATCTCAGTTGCTATCCTTGGCTGGACATGTGTGCTTCAGTCCTGCAAGGTATTTTTCTGGGTCAGCTGCGGGAAGAAAATCCTGTTCCTGGTACAGGCAGGCTCTCCTCTGCTCTTCTTCCTCCTCCTCCTCCTCCTCACGCGCTCCCTGTTATCTAATTGGATTTGTCATGCTGGAAAGGCAAAGCCCTTCAGGACTGCGCTGTGCTCTCGCCAGTGTGATTTCACAGCTGGCCTCGGCACCCCAGTAGCCGACAAGTGAGTAACTCAGCTGGACACCATGGGCACCCCTGCTCCCCACCCTCCCCGACAGCCATGCCCACCTGCCTGGAACACGGCCACCGCCACAGCTGGACCTGGGCCTCCAATCCTGCCCAACACTGGTCCCTGTCCCTAAGTTCTGTCCCCATATGCCCCAGCCTCTGCATCCCATCCCCATCCCTCACCCCCTCCAGGGTGATTGCCATGCCGCCCGGAGATGTCTGAACTGACACGAGATGGAAGCGTTCACAGAAATGACATTTTCTCCAGCCTGGGGAGCTTATCCTCCGTTTAAAGAAAACTAATATAGAAGCTGCCCTGGTGTGCCGTGGCTGATGGTATCAGGCAGGCAGCCGCCGGCGCTCAAAGCCGCGATAAATCTCAAAGAGCCGAGCCGGCTGCAGCCGCCCCACAGAGAGGGGCTGAGCCGTGTCCGGGCGCTGCTGCGGGGATACAGCGCTGAGGGGACAGCTCAGGGCGGGTAATGTGGGGTGACCCACAGGGTCCCGAGCATGCAGGGAGCGGGGAGTCCGCGGCGGGGATGGTCCCAGCGCTGGACTGGCCGGTGGCGGGGCTGCAGCAGAAGCCGGAGAGCTAAGCAGCCGCCCGGCGCGGCTCAGGGGCTGCCCTGGGGCTGGGCCGGGCCGCGCCCGGGGGCGGCGGGGGCGCGGGGCAGCGGAGCGCGGGGCGCTGCTGCCCCCTGCCGGGCAGCGCCCGCCGAGCGCCCGGCGCCGCGGGCGCGGCCTGTGCGGGACGGGACGGCGGGCGCGGCCTGCGAGGGACGGGACGGCGGGCACCGTCTGTGGAAGGACGGCGGGCGCGGCCTGCGAGGGACAGCGGGCACGGCCTGTGGAGGGACGGCGGGCACGGCCTGTGAGGGACAGCGGGCACGGCCTGCGAGGGACGGCGGGCACCGCCTGTGGAGGACAGCGGGCACGGCCTGCGAAGGACGGCGGGCACCGCCTGTGGAAGGACGGCGGGCATGGCCTGTGGAGGGACGGCCTGCATGGCCCTGCCGCCCTTGGGTGCTGCCCGCTGCCTCCGCTTGCCTCCCTCGGGGCCTGTCCTGCTTCTGACCAGCCTGAAGTCCTCCAGCACCTGTAACCAAGCTGCCAGATGGGATCCTGGCCGTGTCCCCATCATGGCTATAGTTACGTGTTGCTCAGGCATCAAGGCCTGTGGCAGGGATGGTGCTGGGGAGTCACTGCTGAGGTCATCAGGAGTTCCCTTTGTTCCAATCTCTTCTGCCACCACTGGCCTTTTCCTGCCCTGATGCTGCCCTTCACTGGGCCCAGTAGCCCTGACTTGTCCTGGAGCTGTGGAGGATGAGTGACACCCCCTCTCCATGCCAGCCCACGCTGGGTGAGTGCCAAAGGTGGGTGCCTGGAAGCAGCAGCAGCAGGAGATGAGAAGCTGAGGAGAGTACAGTGCTGAGCTTTGAAGGCGCCTGACAGGCTGTCGGGGCGCTGCCAGCCACACTGACAGCTGGGTACAGACACCCACCCCCCATCCCCGCCACTGCTGCGCTCTGATCACAGCCTCGCCGTCACTTCAAAGCACCCGCCAGGTGCAGGTGGGTTGTCATGCAGCCTCCCACCCCATGGTTCCACTCCTCCTGACCCACAGTCTTGCTTCTCCCGCCCCACCTGGCCCAGATGCACTGAGGACCCCAGCTCCAGGGACAGGGAGACCAAGGTACAAGGTAGACAAGGTCCCAAGCAGAACTTGCAGCAGGTGATGGCCTCCCAGTGCTGTCACTGTCCTGTCTCTGTGGGGCAGAGTCCCCAGCCCCCAGACACAACTGGGGACCCTTGAGGTCCAGGCAATATTTTGTGGTGACAGTGAAATGCATGGCAAGGGACAAGGAGGAAGAGCTGAAGCATGACATTCCTAGGCACAGGGTTCACACAGTGTGCCTGAGAGAGGTCATTGCTATCCAGACAGAGATGCCCACCGTGCTGGGACACTGGGAGCTGCCAGTTCAGCTTGCCTGGGGTAAGACAACACACACCCCTGTCCCAGCCCAGCTCGAGAAGGAATTTTCCATTCCCGAATGCAGGTTGGGGAAAGGCGTGTTTGCAACAACCCCCTCCTCTCCCTCCCCTCACCCATCACTGAAGCAGCTCAGGAAGGCGCCTGCCTTGTTCATCTCCAGGAAGGTGCAGAGCAAAAGCCTCCCAGGAGAGAGAGATCCCTGGAGGGGAGGAGGGACCAGGGACCCTGGGCAGCTTCAGGGGCAGTCTGCAACCCACTTTCCAGAGGAGCCACCCTGAATGCAGCCATGCCGCTGCCCCTTGCATGCTGCCAGGACGGGGAAGTTCTGACACGACCCCAGGACAGCAGCGCGCCCCAGCTCGTTGTCGGCATCCTGCGAGCCACCCGGATCCCCGGGCTGCATTACATGTGTACCCGGCCCCAGTCCCGCCTGCGCCGCCTGCTCTGGAGCCTGGCCTTCCTGGCCTCCGCCGGGCTGCTGGCCACCGGCACCGCCGACCGCCTGCACCACCTGCTCTCGCGCCCCGTGCACACCCGCGCACGCCTCGCCTGGGCACCCCAGCTCCGCTTCCCGGCTGTCACCCTCTGCAACCCCAACCGGGCACGCTTCCTGCACCTCACCAAGCCCGACCTCTACTCGGTGGGAGAGTGGCTGGGGCTGGCCCGGGAGAACCACTCGCTGGTGCCCGAGATGCTGGCCGTGCTGGGGGAGGACCAGCGTGCCTGGCTGACGCGTCTGGCCAACTACTCGCGCTTTCTGCCACCCCGCCGCTCCGAGCGCACCATGCAGAGCTTCTTTCACCGCCTGGGCCACCAGATCGAGGACATGCTGGTGGAGTGTCGCTTTCAGGGAGAGCGCTGTGGCCCCCAGCACTTCACTCCTGTGAGTTCCCTTCTGGAAGGTGCAGGACAGCTGGGCTGCCCCATGGGTACTGGGAATGATGCTTCACCTCCACTCCAGCAAGGGTGGAGGAGTGGTACAGTCAGGAGTCAGGCTGAGATGAGCCTTTCCAAAGTCATGAAAGACTGTACCTTCCTTCCATCACCTCTATGGAATCAAAAAGGAGTTTCTGGACCTCATCCTTCTTGCAGAATACTTGACCAGATCCCTGCCTGCTCCCTTACCACTGCTCTCTCCATCCCCAGGTCTACACACGCTATGGTAAGTGCTACACCTTCAATGGGGATCGAAGGAATCCACGTGTGACCCGCCAAGGTGGCATGGGCAACGGGCTGGAGATCATGCTGGACATCCAGCAGGAAGAGTACCTGCCCATCTGGAGAGAGACCAGTAAGTGGGGCTATGGCTCAGGCAGGGCACAGGTGATAGGTGCTAGGATGCAGGGTTGCTGGGCAGGCAGAGCACCTTGTGAGGGGATTATGGATAAAGCAGGGAATCAGAGGGGTGCAGGTGCTGGCGTCAGTGCAGGCAGGCATGCAGCACCTCTGTACTCCCACAGATGAGACATCATTTGAAGCTGGCATCCGGGTCCAGATCCACAGCCAGGATGAGCCACCCTATATCCATCAGCTGGGCTTTGGTGTCTCACCTGGCTTCCAGACCTTTGTGTCCTGCCAGGAGCAGCGGGTAAGGCGGGATGCCCCACAGCCCTGGGGAAGTGCCTGCTGGCACTCAGCCCAGCACAGCCCTGTAGCAATGCCCTTCTCACCCCAACAGCTCACCTACCTGCCACAGCCGTGGGGGAACTGCCGGGCCAGCATGCAGGGGGAGCAGCTGCTGCCTGGCTATGACACCTACAGCATTGCTGCCTGCCGCCTCCAGTGTGAGAAGGAGGCTGTGGTGCAGAGCTGCCACTGCCGCATGGTCCATATGCCAGGTGAGGGGTGTGCATGATGGTGTTAGGGGCACCCCACTGCCCCAACAGTCCTGCTGGAGTTGCTCCAACTCCCTGCAGTCTGCACCCAAAGATCACCTCTGCCCCAACACTCTGTACCCAAGGATTCCCCTGGTCCCATCTCTCTCCACCCAGGGACCACCCCATCCTCTCCACATGTTGGGTCAGCCCCTGTCCTACCCTCCTTACACCACAGGTCAGCACCTTCCCTGTTTGCCTTGTACCTGGGCCACATCTGCCCCAACCAACCTGCACCCAAGGGTCACTCATCTCCATTCTCTCTGCACTCTGCCCTCTGCACTACGTCCAAGGGAGTGAGTTAAGAGTGGGGGGCAGAATCTGGCCAGACTCCCCCCCTCCCAACCACCTGCTTCTCCACAGGCAATGAGTCCATCTGCTCCCCTAATGTGTACATCGAGTGTGCTGACCACACGCTGGGTAGGTGCGGCAGTGGGTGGGCATCTAGGGGCCGGCCAAGCGCCCCGGGGAGGGGCTGGAGATTGTGGCTGTGCCAATGGGTGTCTGCCCCCAGACGCAGCAGTGGAGGACAGCCAGGAGCGCTGCAGCTGCCCCACACCGTGCAACCTGACACGCTATGGCAAGGAGATCTCCATGGTCCGCATCCCCAACAAGGGCTCAGCGCGCTACCTCGCCCGCAAGTACAACAAGAACGAGACCTATATTCGGTGAGTTGCTAGCACTGGGGTATTCCAGGGGGTAGGCAGGGGACTGGGGACCCGGGGAACTTCCACTCCACTCCTGGCAGCATGCAGAGAGAGGGTCCTGGCATACTTGGTTTCTGCAGCATCCTCTGTGCACAGGTGTTTTCACTAGAGCTTCTTCCCAACTTGTCCAATCTTCCCAGCCCATCTGCCAGCACCTGCCCACCCCACTGTCTCTCCTGGCCTGGGACATGCCCCATCCATGTCCCCACTGCACCAGCCCAAATATTCACGAGGGCCCTGGGAGCATCTGGGAGCACCTGAGAGCTGGAGGGCTGGGTGACACTGGAGGTTTGAGGGAAGTGGTGCAGGAGGGTCCAGACCAGCCCTTTTTGCTCAGCACAATGGTGTCCCCACAGGGAGAACTTCCTGGTGCTGGACATCTTCTTTGAGGCGCTCAACTATGAAGCCATTGAGCAGAAGAAAGCCTATGACCTTGCTGGGCTTCTCGGTGACTCCCCTCACCTTCCTCTGGGGCCCTAAGGCGTGGAGCTCTGGGTCCCAGCCCTGGGAGGATGAGGGTCTGGTGGGGAAGGAATCACACAGAGCAGCAGCCAGCCACAGGCTGGCTGAAGGGTGGAACACTGCTGACTGTCCCCTATCCCGCATGTCCCCCACACCCTTGGGCCTGCTGATCCTGCCCCCATGGCTGTTCGGTGCCCCACCATCTGGCAGCCTTGGCACTGCCCTGCTGGCCCGCCCCCGGCTTCCAGTGGGCTGCACAGCATCTCCTGGTGACCATCTTCCCCTCCTCCTCCACAGGGGACATTGGGGGGCAGATGGGCCTGTTCATCGGTGCCAGCATCCTCACCATCTTGGAGATCCTGGACTACATCTATGAGGTGCGTTAGCCTTCAGGGATGTGTCTCAGCAGTGGGTACAGAGACAGGCTTCCTGGGGAGGGCATAAAATGTGTGGCCACCCCAGAGGGTTATAGCAGCTCCCAAATTAGGGAACACCCAGAGGAAGGCAGTGGGAGGAGAATGGGTCCCCTTGCATTCCTCAGTGACCTGAAGACAGGGAGGGTGGTGGGCCAAGGTACTGTCCCACTATCCCTGGGTGAGAAGGGGAGCAGGCAGCAGTTCTGTGTAGACTGGGGTGTGCGCACACAGAGTGTTACCTGTGTGCAGGTCTAGGTCTGACCCCCCATCTGCACCCAGGTGATCCGAGATAAGGTGAGCCGGGTCCTGCGCCGCTCCAAGCCACCTCTGAAGAAGCCCTCAGGCAGCATCGCCACACTGGGATTGGAGGAGATGAAGGACCAGGTACCCCTGCAGGGCTGGGCTGCCTGGAGGCTGTGAGGACAGGGCCTGGCCACTGTCTGTCCCCACTCCACAGGGAGGGGACATCATCCCAAGATCAAGGGTGGCTCTGCATTTGGTGCCTTCAGGCTGCAGAGTCAGGGCAGTCCCAGGGGGGCAGGGAGCTGGGTGTCTCCTGGGGAGCTCCTGTGGACAGACTGTGATGGGTGGGAGGACTAGGGAGGTGGCAGGATGCATGGAATCTGTGTCCACCCTATTGACTGCCTTCTCCACAGAGCCCCTGTGAGACACTGGGTCGGCACGTGGAGGGCGCCTACAATGCGGGCATCCTGCCCAACCACCACCACCGCCACCACTATCCTCACCAGGGAGTCTTCGAGGACTTCGCCTGCTAGGCAAGATTGGGTTTGGGGGGCAGCCCCCTGTCACCCCCCTCCCCAGTGTTCTCATGGAGAGGGACTGTGGCACTGGGTGCGGTGGGCACAGGCCCCTGCCTCCCCCACCCCACTGCCAGCACCAGCCACACCGTTCGCCCCCAGTGATGCCACTGGAGCTGCCTCAGCACCGGCACTGGAGCAGCCCCCTGGCCCTTTTGCCTGTCCCCTCTGCTTGCCCCTAGCACGTGGGCTCAGCCCAGTTTCAAGCACACAGCGTGGAGGGGGATGGGCATGCCAGGGGGGTTTGGGGGAGCAGCAGGTGTGGGCTAGAGAGGCCCTGGTGCTGCAGAGCATGAAGGGGGTAAGCTGAGGTTCCTGTGAGCCCCTCCAAGCCCTCCCTTGCTGACCCCTCCTGGGTGGTGGTCTTTGCCCTGCATGGTTTTCCTTAGGAGAGAGACATGCCTGGAACAGCTTCTTTCTGCCCAGGACCCACCTCCTCCCCTTCCTGCTGCAGGGCAGGGCAGCATTGCAGGGCACCCCTCTGAGCAGCATGGCCCCCGTGGCCAGCCCAGGGACACCCCAACTGCAGCCACACCTGCATGGCACCACCCTGACCCCTGGCACTACCACCACCACTGTGACACGCCCCTAAACATCTGCCCACCCTTGCCCAACCTCATGCAGTCTCTCAGGGCTGCAGCCCCTCCATCACTGTTCCCAGCCAGACCCCTGCACTGTGACTCCCCCTGCCACTCCAGTATTGGCCCCCAGTAATCCCCCGTCATTTCAGCACTGCAAACCTACTGCCTCCCCCGTCTCCTGCCCCAATCTGTTGTGAACCCATCCTCTCCTTGCCCAGCTATTGCCCAGAGTGGCTCATCCCTTGGTGTAGCTGCCCGGCACAGCCCAGGCAGCGTGGCGGGTCCTGCCCTCACTCCCCTGCCTGTCGCTGCTCTTTTGCACCATGCACGTACCCCTTGCCATGCTCCCAGCCCCAGGTGCTGAGCATCCTCTGTGCCTCCCCCAGACTGCACATGGTTAGGAGGGTGCTCTGTGCCCAGCCCTGTCCAGACAGCCACAGTCCAGCCCACTGGCCGGAGCCTTGGCCAAAACTGGCACCCACAGTCCTCCTGCCTGCCCTGAGATGGTAGGACGCACAGCAGGACGCACGGCAGGACCCACAGCACTTCCCCTGTCCTGTTCTACATTGCCTCCACCCCCTCCACTGTAGCAGCAGACACCAGCGCAGGGCAAACTGCCCCAAAATATCTCAGGAGGGGGGGCAAGCTGGCAAAGCCCCCCTCAACACACACACTTGGCAGAGGGGGACCCCAGGGCAGGAATTTGGGACCTCTGGGGAAGGCTGGGGCTGAGCCAGGCAGCCTCTGGCCCTGCTGGTTTGGTCCCCATCCTTGGTGCCCACCGATGGATCACGGCCATGTTGTGCCATGCCCAAAGCCATAGATGCAGGAGGAGCCATCATCCCTGCAGCCCTCAAGGCCCCACACATGGGAGGCGCAGGGCAGGAACCAGGGCACCAGCAGCCCTGGCTCTGGGTCTGCATGGTCCAACAGCTCCCCTGAAGTATGCACCCACGTGTAAGCATGTTCCCGTGGGTGCAAGCTGCGTGGTGTTCCACGTTCCCCTGTGTGGGGGATACACAGCAAGCCTCCCAGCAGGCGAGCCACACTGATGCTCCCCAGGGAGCCCTCCAGAGCACCCTGTGCCAGCTCCCCATGGGGTTCCCATGCGCCAACCTGCAAGCAGGAGGGTTCCCACAGGGGTGCCACATGTTATCCCAGGAATGTGCCACGGCCATGCCAGCCAGCCTTACACCAAGGTCTCCTGCAACAAGGAGGGGGTGCAGGATGTGTCCCCTTCTTGCCAGTGGGAGCAGCAGGCCCTGAGCGGGGTGGGCACGGACACCATGGTGGGAAGGCCAGCACAAACCGCCCTCGTGCTGGTGAACGTGAGATGTGCGTCACTGTTTTATAAATGTACAAATGCTCCCTAATAAAGAGGCACAAGTAGGTCCAGAGATGCCTGTGAGGGCTGATGGGGCAGAGAGATGGGTGAGACACCATCCTAGAGGAGAGGTGGTGGTGGGACCCAGGGAACACTTCACAGTCTTGTGCTCGTGTACGAGGGGTGCAAGGTGAAACTTAAACAGGGGTGACAGAGGATGGGTGGAGGGGAAGGGGGGGCCCTGCTGGGGCTTTCCCTGGCAGAAATGCTCTTCCAGTTCCTGCCTTCTCCAAAACTTTATTCATCTGCCCCAGCTACCCTGCAGCACAAAGGGGACACAGGAGGAAACAGAAGCTGACCTCTTGGAGAAGGCTGCCAGTACCAGATACCACAGGTTTCCTTCTAAAGCAGTGAGGGCTGAAGAAGCCTGAGTTAACTGGGTGCAGCTGGGATACAGGGCCACATCCCACAGATCACACCATGCCCTGTGAAAAAAACATTGAGCTTGGGTGCTAAAGGGAAAAGCAGGGAAATAGCTACATGTTCCATATCTTGTTATCATCAAGTAAGAAGATTGGATCCCTTTGGGATGAGACTGTCCCTGCCACCAGATTCTGACCCATCTGCCCCTCCACAATGCCCCATCATTTCACCTGCACCAAGACAGTAACTGGGAGCTGATGGTGCTTCCTGTTCTACTGTGAAGATGTGTCACAGGAGCTGAGTAAGGAGAGCGGGATTGTGTGGTGGGCCCACAAGGTCGTTCCTCATGATGTCCTCCAGCTCCTCCAGCACCATGCACAGGAGTGAAGCATGGCAGAAGGAAAGGCTGAACTTCATGCATGGCCCATCCCAGCTTCTATGCCAACAAAGCAGCCTCAGGACCATTCCCAGGAGCCCTGTAGTGATGATCTAACAAAGATTTGACATGTATTTTTCTCTATTGCTCTCACCACCTTTATTCTTTAATTTGACAACTTCCAGGTGCTATCTGAAAGTGACAGCTCCTGTCACTTCCACTTCTCCAAACAGGACAGGCAGACGACATGAACCGAGCACCACTCCCTGCCTACGATATGCCTCATGTCCCAGCACAGATGGCACTGGGCTGAGGAGGGCCAGTGGGACAACCCAGGTTTAGCACCCCAGGGTCAACCACAAACCCCAGTGCTTTGGCTCCTGGGTGCCCCCTCCCATGCTGTGCCTGTTCAAGGGCCAGCAGGAACTTAGTCCTGCCCAGAGATGGAGATTCTGCCACCTGGGGCTCACCCAGCACAGCGCTGCTTGAAACACCTGTAATGAACCACATGAAATAGCTGGGGCATAATTAGAAGGAGATCCACTACAGTGAAACAGGCCCTTAATTTTAATGAGCACAGTGCTCTGGACAAATGCCAAGTACCTGATCACAGCAGGACCGGCTGTACTGGCGACAGCTTCTGTCACCATAGAGGTGACAACCCCAGAAGACACAGCAGGAGTGGCAGTAGGGAGTAGGCACCAGGATGGAGCAGGCAGCAAGGATCTCTTCTGTCTATGGGGCAGGCATCTCCTCTGGGCACTTTCCAACATGCCTCTGCTGCCACGAACAGTAATTACAGCTGTTCTCATAGAAAAGCTGCATTTCAATGAAAGAAAAACCCTCCAGCTTGGGAGCAGAGGGTTTGAAAGTAAGCCCTGAAATGCAATGGGACATGTGGCCTCACTGCTGTCACCTCCTCCCCAAGCATGGAGATGCTGATGGTGACAGGCAGCACCTGGAGAAAGGAGTGACTCTCAGCATGTCTGTATGGCATGCAAATGCCAAGCTCACTGCTTTGCTCTTTGATCATTTGCCCATGACCCCCTTGCTGGAAAAATGGATTGGTGGTGCCAAGCAGTCGGGCCAGGCAAGGGACACACAGCATCCACTTTCCAGTACTCAGTTCCTGACAGTGGGCAAGGAGGCAGCTGGAAAAACCAAGGAGGCAATTAAAATAAAAATCCAAGCAAGCTGCCTGCCTCTTCCCCCAGTGCCAGAGCTTCAGGGTCTTGCATTCTGCCAGTGCTGGGGTGGTGTGTCCCCAGAGGGGACATCCCTGGGCATAGCCAGATATGCCAACACCCCATGGAAGGAAACCCCTGCAGGAAGGCACACGCTGACAGCAGCTGTGCCTGCACCTACAGCTTTCCCTCTTCATTGAAATGCTCTGATTTCCCTGAGCTTGGCCAGAAAACCCCCTAACCAAAGCCCCACACACCCTTCAGAGGGGCTAAGCAGTATGTTGGACATCCAAGGCATTGGACGCAGACACAGCTTGGTACCTCCCTGTCTGCTCCTCCTCAAGCAGACCAGCTTCTTCTGCCTTCACTTAAAGACAGGAGGAAATGTTTGCTGGAATTGGGTCTTGGCCTGTGGTCAGTAGAGCTGCTCTTGTGTGACAGACACCCCTGGCCCCTTCCCAAAAAAAGCACAGGGAAGAAAGGGCATTGCATTTCCCCTTGCCTTCCAGCCCTTTAGGGGCATGGCTGCAATTCCCATATCCTCCCAAAGGTCAGCCATCAAACTGATTAATACTGCTGGGCCTGAAGTAGCTTTGCCACATAGTTGAGCACAGCCTGAAATGATCCAAGCAAGGCTAGAGAAGTAGGTTTTGCCTTCCCTGCTCACAGGCTCACTGTTGTGTTTGCATACATAGGAAAACAAACCATGGGGGGAGGGAGAACAGCAGTAACTTGGGTTTTCCCCAGTTTGAGTCTCTTTCCTTGCTACAGTGCAAAAATGAGAGGAGGCAGGAGGGAAGTCAGGTGCCCACCCAGGCCCAGTGTATTCAGACATGCCCTTGTGCTTCAGAGCGCTCCGAACCACCTCTTCACTCTCTCTTCTGAAAAAGTTCCCAAGAGAACATTGCTCTGTCTCTGTTGATTGCTGTGGTGAGCCAGTAACTCTTAGAAAAAACTGACCTTTTTACTTTGTAAAACTGACCTTTCACTGCCCTGCCTCTGCAACTGGATAAGTGCAAAAATCCACACATTGTATGAAAGTATAGGTCAAGCCCAAAGAGGGATCACAGAATGTCTCTGTTTTCTCATCTGCCCATATCAGCTGTTCCTTCCGCCCCTTTCAAAGGTGTCACTGTCCCAGTCTGGCCCCCTGCCTGCACCTGCTAGCCTGATGAGGGCAGGAGAGGGGCAGTGCACCTGTGGCCACGCCCCTGTTGCCACAGGTCTCTGCCACATCCCAGTGAGCACAGCCAGCACTCACTTCACAGCCAGCGCTCACCTTGCTTGCGTCACCAACCCCCTTCCCAAAGTTTTGCACATCCTTCTTTGGGGTTTCATCATGTTTTGATGCTGCAGATAGCCTGGCAAACACTAAAACAGCTTCAGACCCTGCGAGCTCCCTTGAAAAGGGAGCAGTAACTGTGCTGGGAGTGCCACAAGCAGTCATTTGCTCATACATATGCCAGAGCAGGGAGCCTCTGCTGGTATTGATAGTGCAGAGCGTTAAGTATGCAAATACCTCTAAATCGTCTGGGCGAACAGCAGTGAGGCAACAGCAACTTTATCTTGACAGTCTCATAATAATTAAATGACAATTCTGGGTTTCTTTTCACAGACAACTTGATTTGAAGCTGCTTTATTACCATTTGGATACTCTTCTAATGCCTAATCACATCTTACTACTTGGTCCACTTTTCAAAGGATAAATGTATCTGTAACACACCTGCATCTGCCTCACTCCCTCTGCCCCAGATTTCCACTTGAAGGGAATTAAGGATGTGCTCAGGGAAGATCAAAAATAGAAATACTCAGAACAAGCGAACAGTTGCTGTCTGAAATATAATAAAATTATATTTAAACATATACACTCCTACACCATGGATACAGAGACTGGAGCAGGAAGAGATGAATGAGGTATCCTTGGAAAAGGCATACCACACAGCCCAGGGGCCTCCATGAGTTTTGCTGAGCACTAGCAGCCTTGATAAGTAATAGTGAGTAGGTTCAGTTAATTTTCTTGAGGGTGTCTCTGATACGTGTATTTCATGAAGCAGTAAAACATGATGAGTAAAGGGCTGGTGGGAAGGGCACATGGAGTTATGAAAATCATGCCTGAAGCAGGAAGCACAGGCAGGGGACACAGTCCCCGCACCTCATAATGTAAATAGGAGTGTTAAGTGATGAAACAGTCCAGGACAGGACCACAGTGCTCTACCCAACTAAGAACTGGAAAACACAAGTGCTGAGAAGCCCTGAGATGTAAAACAGCTCCAAAAAGAGTGAGAGCAATGCAGAGGGAGCAGATCCAGCACCAGTGATCCAACGCAGTGCTCAGATCAAGTTTTTAGCCTGGGAGCTCCCTTCAGAGCTGATCCCAGATCCTGGAGAGCAGAGTTCACCTCACTTGAGCAGCCAGCTCAGTCTGCTCTGACATGGACCAGGAGTCCCCCATGACTCACATACAGACCACAAAGGCTGTTACAGAGATAGCAGATGTGGGAGGACACACAGCTCCACCAGCCCTTTACTAGTGCTTTTCTACCCACAGACAGGGCTGAGGAGGACTGGTCAGTGGGACCACAAGTTTACAGCAACAGGAAAGACAGGGCAGTCTGCACTGGACTTCCCACATCAAGGGGCTCAGCATCCTGCCACACAACCAGTGATGGC